CATAAAATATTTGGGAAAGGTTCATAAAAGTGGTAGGTAGCATTTACATTGGATCTTGAAAAACAGGCAGGATTTCCATGGGAAAAGTACAAAGGCGGTCGTCTGATTGGAATTCAGGATATGCAGATAAATGTTAAATAGAGTAAGATTAGTAAAGTCAAGAAGGAGGCCTTGAATATCATACCCTATGGGTTATGATTTTATCCTGTAGAACAGTGGTGCCCAACCTTTTTGGCACCAGGGACAGCTTTTGTGGAAGACAATTTTTCCATGGACCAGGGTGGAGAGAACTGTTTCTGGAAGATTCAAGCACGGTACATTCAAGCTCATCTCCTGCTGTGCAGCCCTGTTCCTCACAGGTACAGGTCCCAGCCGAGGTTGGGCATCCCTGCTGCAGACAGTAAGGAATCGGGCGAAGGTTCCTAACTAAGGAGGAGAGTGACAAGAGAGGGGGCGGTTTAGCAATGCTGCTGCAGCAGAACTGTAGTGGCAGGGAGGCTACAGAAGAGATCTGGAGGGCCTCTTGGGTTAAAACACCTTTTCAGTTGAAACTATTTTTTGACATCTAGTAATTCACTGAATCTTCACTAACAACATTAATAAGTAGTGTTATCCATATTTTCACTTTAAGGAGCCTGACACTCAGAAAGGTTGCAGACCACAGAACTAAGACTCTTTGTGGCACTCTGCTGTGAGAAAAACCCACACAAAGCAATTTAGGGAGGATCTCAGTAAAAGATCACACAGTGTCCAACAACTGCCAATATAGAAAGGGAAGAAAAGAGTAAGAAACCAAAGATAGTTAGGATTTCTGTCTTTTACCCTAGTGTCTGGGCCAATGGCGCAATCATTAACAAAAATGCAGGAAAAGCAGGCCAAGAAGGGGTTCAGTGCGTGTGAGATACTTAGGTGGTGACAGTTTAGTGCCTTCTCTGCAAGTAGCTGTTATGAACTGTGGGGTGGGTGGGCCAGGCTGGAGGGAAACTAAAAGAAATGGGCTAAATTACTTTCTAACACATAAGGATGATCAGTTACAAAGGTTACTTGCACCCAAAAGCAAACTAGAAGTGGTCTTCAGTATACTATTTAAGGCCAGATCAAATTCTTTCCATCTTCTCTACCCTCACACTTACAACTGCCTGCTCTTATAAATTCTGCCTCATGACTCTGGCACTGCTAATAGCAATTTCAGAGTCAGAAAGGGCTCTTTCCTTTCCAGAGACAAAACACTGCCCTACAAATAGCCCATATTTGGGGTAGAACCATCTACCCCAAAAGAGAAAGTGATTCCTACCCCAAAAGAGAAAGTGGTTCCTCTATTTGCTATCTCTGACCTTTCAGAAGTTACTGAACCTCTCTATGCTTCATTTCCCTCAACTAGAACATGAGAGTCTGAGAATTAAATGAGTCAATATTATAGTTTTTAGGCATTAGACCTCAAAAAAATATTATAGTACTTAGTACCTAGCACATATGAAGTCCTATATATTTTTGGCTATTATTACAGCTTTTTTAACCTCTGGGGGTGTTTTTTTTTTTTTTAGGTTCTCATTCTTTGGTGATACTTGGATTATAAACTGGGCCCTGGCTGGGTGGCTCAGTTGGTAGGGGTGTCATCCCATACACCAAAAGTCTGTGGGTTCAATTCCTGGTCAGGGCATGTATGGGAGGCAAGTGACTGATGTTTCTCTCTCATACTGGTGTAGCTCGTTCCCTCTCCATTCCTCTCTCTAAAATGAATAAACATATCCTCAGGTGAGGGGTACACACACACACACAAGCAAAAAATGATAAAACAAAATCTGGCAAATCTCTTTTAAATAAGGAAGGCCCTGGCTGGTGTGGCTCAGTGGACTGAGCATGCCAGCCTGCAAACTGAGGGGTCCCCAGTCAGGGCACATGCCTGGATTACAGGCCAGGTCCCCAGTTGGGGGTGTGTGAGAGGCAGCTGATCGATGTTTTTCTTCCTCCCTTCCTGTCTCTCTAAAAATTAAACCTCTTTAAAGTAAAATAGAAATAGGAAAGCTTTTCCTGAAGTCACCCAGACTTCCCTTTAAATCTGATTAGCCAGAACTGCAACACATGCCCACACCTAAACCAATCACTGCCTAAGGAGTTAAAATGACAATGACTGGTTTTGAGTTTATACTAATCAAGACCTATCCCTGGGGCTGGGGAGGGACTGCCAGATTCCTCATTAACGAGGTGTAAGGAATGATGACAAAACCACCAGTGTCAAAAACAATGACAACAAAAACCCCACTAGTGTCTGCCAAGACCATTTTGAGAGGCTGTGGTCTCTGCTAGGAAAGGTTAGAATACTTAACTTCCACATTTGCAAGCAGCACCTCCACAGGGCTCCTGTGGCACTGAAACCACTACAAAGGTCTATTAAGGCTAGTGAAGTCCGGCACAGGAGAAACAGCATAGGATACATAGACCAGAGCTGAAGAAGAGTATGAAAGGTGGTGAAACACAGCAAGTCCTAGACCCATGTAGGTGTGGTGGAGGCCACCAGCCTTGGACTAGTTACCTAATCCCAAAGCCTCAGTTTACTCATTTATAAATGAGGAAAACAGAAACCAACTGATTTAGTGTTAGAATTAAATGTATCTCTACACTAATTTCACTCCCATGATATAAGGATCAGCCCCAAACAAAAAACAACAAAAAATCCACAGTATGGGGGTGCTCAGAAAGACAGGGTGGGATGGGGAGAGGTACCTGAAATGAAGTCAGAAAGAAAACGGGAGGCAGTCTGACACTAGACTAAAAATCCCTTTCAGGAACTTGGTCAGGTTTTGTTGCCCCAGTGAAGAACTTTCCAAGTCTTCCAGAAAAGGAATACTTTACTTCATACCTTACGTCTTCCAAGAGGTTTATGTGCTGCAAAATGGGTAAGAATCTCTTTTCTGGCCTTCGCTGCCTAGTGTGTTATCTGCTCTGAGGTAGTTTCCCAATCTGTAAAAACTAAGTAAATCTCCACCAATTGTATTTCACTGAACTTAATAATAACTAAGTATTGGCTCATTTCTGTTAGGCATCAGTGCTCCTGAGGTTGCAAGCCGATACAAAACCTGTAATAGTAGAGCCCCTAAAATTTCTCATCCATACCTAAGGCTGCAGTTAAAAAGACAGGCTTATCAGTCTTCATGGAGGTTTCTGGAAACCAGAGTATTTAAGAGAAAGGAACTAATATTACCAAGGGTGGAAAAAAATCTGTTCTGATATCTTTCTTTTTTTAAGGTTTTATTTTTAGAGAGGGGGGGAAAGAGAAGGAGAGAAACAGCAATGTGTGGTTGCCTCTTCTGTGCCCCCAACTCAGGACCTGGCCCACAACCCAGGCATGTGCCCTGACTAGGAACCATACTGGCTACCCTTAGGTTCTCAGGCCTGTGCTCAGTCCACTGAGCCACACCAGCCAGGGCTGTTCCGATATTTCTAGACTTCTTACTAGACTTCCAAGATTGTGTTGTATCTTTCGTTTTTAAATACCTTAAGAACACTGCCCCTTTTCCTCTTCCTAGAGATGAGGAAATAAAGACTTAAAAAGAAAAATAACATTTATTGAGGCCACACTAAATGCTTTCGATATGTATCACTGCATTTGACATCAAAGTGACTTCTCTGGATGAGAGCTAGGAAGCCGCAGGCAGGATTATACTATATTTGATTCTACAGTCAATGCCTTGCAGCTCAGGGGAGTAATTTGTTTTCTCAGGATCAGGGTCTTAACAAAACTCAGCCCCAGAGTCTCATTTAGCTCCCTGCCCCACACATGAACAATATTTGGTGTTAGTAATTCAATTTGCCCATTTCCAATTTCCTTCAGACTCAGGATTTCAAAGTGGGCCCACTAGCAAAAAAAAAAAAAAAAAAAAATCAATCTTTACAACTTTGCCTAGGGTTAAAAGCTTTCTTTCCCGCTTTTACAGCCCAAACATTAGGGGGCCAGACTATAAACTATGGGTCTGGAGTAATCACCCTGTTTTAGGCGCTGTGTATCTATAACAGGTAAGTTACTTTATCTCTTTAGCCTCAGTTTCCTTATCCATAAAATAAGGATGACAGTAGTACCAATCTCATTAGGTTGTGCATATTAAGTAAAACGTGACATATAAAGCACTCAGAACAATACCTGCACATAGGAAGTGCTTAGTAAATTTATTTACTTAATTTTGCTGGAAAGTAAATACCACTGATGTTTCTGTCCCTAAGACCAAAAGCTTCGCCATTATATTCTCCCTGAACACAAACCTTGCCAGCCGGGAGTCCCTTAAGAAACAGCAACAGGTCGCTCCTTTTCTCCTAACCAGGGCCAGGCCCAGAAACCTGAAGACCCCGACCTACGTGTGGCCCCAGGTCTTGGCCTTTAATCTTCTACCACCTCGAAGGCTGTCAGTTTGAGCCCAACCGAACCACCGCATTTCCGCCTCGGCTCGGGAATTTCTCCCGGCCTTGAGCCGCCCAGGCTGTCTTTGGTACGGCTGCCCTTGGTTCCGAGCCGGGAGCTGGCTCGCCTGGCCTCCCCTCACCAGGGCAGTCTACCTGCGACGTAGGTAAGATCTCTTTGACTTCGGGGGAACCATTGAATACAGTCAAGATGCGCGTCGCTCAGTCTCATGCCGGGAGGAGGATCCCTGAGCGCCGCCCGGGCCTGCGACGCGGAGCCCGTCCCCCAGCCCCAGTGTCTGCGGCGAAGGCCGGAGGGCTGGCCCCTTTCTAACCCCCAGGAATGCTTGGGCTCTAGCCCAGAGCCACCACGTGGGGGTCTCCAGGCGTGGTAACATTGAACCAGCCCCCGAAGACTGCCGCCCGCATGGGCCCTGGCCGGCCCCAAACTGTCCTGAGCAGCACTCCAGGTACAGTTTCTCCCCAAAACCTATTTAGAGGGACCTCAGACACCCCCTGTAGATTGGAGACAGGCTCTCGCCTGTCTCAGAGCCCAAGCCCTGAGACTGCCTCCGTTCGAATCCCAGTTGCCTGGTATCCTTACTCACCCATCGCGGCTCCGCTCGCTCCTGCTTGGCGGCGGCAGCGGCAGCAGCTTCAGCAGACAATATGGCGGACCCTGCGGGACGGCAGCCCGAAACGGACAAACAACTTAACATTCAACCCCAGGAAGAAATGCGCACTCGGCCACACCGCCTAGTTTATGCAGGAAAGCCCTTAAAGATACCGCAGCTGTTGAGGGCGGGGAGTAAGGATGGAATATGAAAGAGATTGGTGGAGACTGAGAGAGGTAATCTGCTAAAGAAAGCATGTCTAGGAGAGGTAATCTACTAAAGAAAGCCTTTTCTGTCTCTATTTCTTCTTTATAGAGCAGTCTCCTCCACTACAAACTTTTTCTCCCAGAAAGCAATCCTTACCTTTATAGTTAAAGCCAATCATAGACCATGATATGAATAAGGACTCACTTAAAGAGGGGAAATGACATGCACAAGGATATAGAGATAAGTCAAAAGTTAGCAGGGTTACAATCTTATTGGGAGATAGAAGTAGAAAAATGAGACCAATACAGTGCTTTAAAGTTGACAGAGCTATTTCACCTATTCTCACTGCAAGTTGTCTGAAGGCAGAGGTCAGTTCTGTATTTTTCATCACAATCTCCACCTAGAGCAGTATCTAGTACGTGGTATGTGCTCCATAAATAATTGTTGAATGAATAAACAAACAAACGAACATCTCTGTGAGTTACACAAAATATGGGAAATGATCTCTCTTTTAGAGATGAAAAATTGAAACTTTGAGTATTCCTGTGGCTTTTGAATCATGGAATTTATGGCTGGTATACATTTGGCCTCTGTTTTTGCATAATAATAGGCCACTCCTCCTGTTCCTCACCTCAACACATAGAGGAAAGCTGACTGCAAGTCACTGGTCCCAAGAGGGAGCTGTTTTTTGGAAGCAGAATGAGAACCTGGGCTTCCAGGTCCTGTCACAACAAATTGCCAGTTCTAGTTGTGTGCCTCCTCTGTTAGGGAAAACAACTCAGAAAGCCAACTATTAGATCTCAGGGTCAGGAAAGGGAGTACTAGCCTTTTCTTTCTAGTGCCACTGCTCAAGGTCAGACCTCTTCATTATCTCCTGGTCCATTTTACCTGCCTTCACCTGGCCCCAGGCTCTTCCACTTGTACCTACCACCTCCTTAAAAACACATTCCTTATCAGGTTATACTTCTGCTTAAGCACTTCCTACTGTCTGTCCTTAGGAAATGCCCCAAAATTTCAATCTGAAACACAGGCTAGTCCTTACTGGCTTCTTGGGCCACTCCAGGATCCATCCATATTTAGGAGACCATTTTTCTCCAGATATGCTATTGATGGGGGACTCAAGAGTTGGAAAATTTTAGTTTAGGTAATCGCTAATAAGCTTAGTAATCAATATGGGTAAAAGCTATCGTTCCAGGACTGAAGTTCCACCTTTACTCCAGGAGACTGTAAACAGTTCCACCTTTCTGCCTCAGCAGGACTGCAAGCAATTCAAGATGGTATCTGAGCCATTGTGCTCCAGGGTGAGAGTCTGCCTCCTAAGACACAGAGGAAAGAATGCTCCACCTTCTATCTGATTAACTTTGTTCCTGAATTCCAAACCCCTTACCTACACTTTTCTTCTCCTTATAAACAGTCGGTTTAAAAGGGAATTTAATAATAATAATAAGTATTAAAAATGGAATTTAAGACAGTCTGTTAGGGTACATCACCCGCTATCTTCCTAGATCACTGGCCATCTGAATAAAGTGCCCATAAAGATTTAATACCTGTCTCTGCTTATTGGTTCTGGCGGTGACAGGCAGCGCCAATGCCGGCTTTTCTGGTTTCATATTCTGGCTACTCCGGGACAACAGAGTCTGGAACTCTCCAGTAAGCCTGGGAATTTGGCTGGGAGTCCCACTGGCTGCCTGGACGGGGGGGGGGGTGGGGGGGTGGGGGGGGTGGGGGGGGGGGGTGGGATGTGGATTTGGAGACTCCCTAGCAACTGCCAAGTGATTTCACTTGGGGACTCTCCTCCAATCTGCACCTCATCTTTACTTGTGATTGAATCACTGCTCTTTCTGGTTCAGATTACGATCCCAGGTCATGACTTAGACTGGCAGGAATTAAGGTACCTTCTGGTTTATGGAGCTCTGTCTGGTAAAAAGGTGTCTTCTGGTTTAATTAAGGTGCCTTCTGGTTTTACCAGAGTTCTATCTGGTAGAACTGGGGGGGAACCTCCACTTCAGGAAACAGCCCTCTTGGGAAACTTTTAGCTGATTGGTCCACCTATGCTCAAAACCTGTGACTAAAAAGAAAGCGGTTTTTATTATAACACGGTTTGGCTTATATATTGTATAATTTAGACTCAGGAGAGTACTGGCTGCTGAAATTACTGTATTAGACTGCAATTGGAATTGTTTTGTCAAAGATCAGGGAAGTGGAACAAATGCCTTACCTAGAAACTTTCATGGGTTTACGTAATAAGGATGCAGGATTAAAAGGTAATAGATTAATGGTCCAGAGAAAAAGGGACTTGCCTGTGAACAATAGCAGAAGCTCAGAGCAGAGGGCCCAGGAAGATCTGTATATTGTGGCTGCTGCGAGCATGGTCATGGTTTCCATGGCCCCTCCAACCGTGGGGGATCGTCCTTCTTACTCAGCTGAGGGAACTGGGGAAAGTGAGCCCGAACTTGTCTCAGTGTCTTGAACCCAAATTCAGTGGAGGACAAGCCCCTCCCAGGGGCTTTTGTGAAGACTTCCAGTGGAAGTAGAGACAGAGGGCCAACTTGCTAGATATTATTGGGCGTGTCCTCTGTTTTCTGCATCAGATCTATTAAACTGGAGAAACTCTGAAAGGGCCAGAATATATCCCTTTAGAATGGGCAAAGGAGAGCACTCAGGCTTTCGAGTTCCAGAAGGTGCACCTGGCTTCTTGCACTGGCCTTGGGGCTTCTAAACCTACTAAAGTGCTCCCAATTATACATTCATGAAAGGCAGTCATTGCCCTAGGACTCCTCACCCAAATGCCAAGTGACATTCCACAGCCCATCACATACTTAAATAAATTAGATCACACTGTCCAGGGGTGGCCAGCCTGCTTGAGAGCTGTGGCAGCCACATGCCAGCTTTTTTTAAAGAAAGATTTTATTTATTTATTTTTAGAGAGAGGGGAAGGAGAAAGAGAGAGAAACATCAATGTGTGGTTGTCTCTCACATGCCCCCTGCTTGGGACCTGGTCCTTAACCCAGGCATGTTCCCTGACTAGGAATTGAACTGGTGACCCTTTGGTTCACAGCCTGTACTCAATCCACTGAGCTACGCCAGCCAGGGCCTGCCAGCTTTTACAGGAAGCCGAAAAGTTTTCTTTGGGACAGCCTGTCCCCACTTACACACCCCACCAAGTGTTGAGCCTGCTGGAGCAAAAGGGAAATTTGTGACTCACTGTTGGAAGAATGAGCAGGTACCAAGCAGTCCTTCTCGACAATCCCAACATCTCCCTCAAGAGTGTAAGTTAAATCTTGCTTCTCTTCTCCCGGAGCCCAACTCGGCTGCTCTAATACATGACTGTACTGAAACAATTGATGGTTTATTCTAGCTGAATTGATTGACAGGACCGTCCTTTAGTAGAAGCAGACTGGACTGTATATGTGGTTGGAAGCAGTTATATGGACAAAGGAAACAGAAAGGCTAGTTGTATGGTTGTGACTCTTGAAGGAATAGTGAAGGCCAAGACCTTGCTGCCAGGAACCTCTGCTCAGAAAGCTGAACTGATTGCATCAGTGAGGGCACTGGTTTTTTCACAGGAAAAGAGAGTGAATGTGTATACGCACTCAAGGTGCGCTTTCTTAATTTCATATGCACATGGTTCAATCTGGAATGAGAGATGACTATTAACTTCCAAATGAAAAGGAGATTGAGCATGCAGCAGAAATTAAAAAAATGATTAGAGTCAGTTCAGGTACCTTTCCAGGCGGCAGTGATGCACTGCCCGGGCATCGGAAAGAGGACACTGAAGTGGCTGGAGGAAGCAATCTGGCCAATTGAGCAGTGAAAGAAGCTGCTAAAGGAACGTTTATAATGCCTTTGGTGCCTGTTCTGGACTTGTCACAATTTGACCCTGATTATTTGACTGCAGACTTAGAGAAAGCTGAAAGATGGAGTTTTGATGAATAAGGTGCTGATAGTGGATGGAGAAAGAATAAGAAAGGAGTTATACTGCTTCCTGAACATTTAGAAGAGCCAGTCATGAAGCATTTGTATGAGGCCAGTCATCATGTAAGCAACTTGTTAACCACGTGTGTTAAAACCTTGGCTCACGGGTGCTGGAATTTCTAAAGCCATACGAAAAATAATTGCTGGATGTGTTTTGTGCCAGAAGAGCAACCCCAAGACAGATCCCCATCAAAAGAAAGAAGGGAGACAATACCAAGGACAGAGCCCATTTGAGGACTGGCAAATAGACTTTTCCCAGATGGTGAGGGTCTGATGGTGACGCCTTTTGCGAGTTTTTGTTGACGCCTTGTTCAGGATGGGTAGAAACCTCTCTACTAGAATGGAGAAATCCTTAAAAGTAGTGAAAGACTTACAGAAGGAAATAATTTCTCACTTTGGCCAACCCAGTAGCATCCAGAGTGATAGTGGACCTGCTTTTGTCTCAGAAATTATACAGAAAGTCAGTGAATTTTGGGAATCAAGCGGAGCCTCCACACAGCCTGGAGACCTCAGGCCTCTGGGAAGGCAGAGAACATGAATCACACTTTGAAGAAAAGCATAGCCAAGCTGTGTCAAGAAACTCATCTCCATTGGGATCAAGCTCTACCTAGTGCCCTGCTCAGGATGAGGGTGGCTTCTCAAAGTGGGATTCGACTGAGTCCTTATGAAATTGTGTACGGGCAAGGGCAACCATTTCAGGCTATGATTGGGGTGGGAGGTATGTATATAGATCAAGAAGTGAAGGTAAAGAAATATGTACAACATTTAAGTCAGACCTTAGCTGTCATGCATGACCTTGCTTGTATTAGAGACCTCTCCCCCACCGGTTCACTACATTCCTGTGAACCTGGAGACAAAGTGCTACTCAAGACCTGGAAGACAGGATCTCCAGAGTCAACAAGAAGAAGAGTGGTCTGA